GGTAGATTTTGCAGAGTTAGTGCAATCATAGAGCGTTGTTAGAGGGACCTACATTTCGTATTAAAATGCATGAACAAAAGATTTGTAGGTCGATCTTATCAGAAGACGACGGCTGAGTTGCGTTTTACCTTAGACGTTTGACTATAATATGACGTTTAAGTTGATGCGGTCTACGAGACATCTTCGCTCGTTTTAGGCGAAAGCTCGCTGACCTTTCGTCCATCATATGATGGACATCTTGAGAGTTGTTCACATTAGATTAAGATACTCAAAAACTAAAAAAATGAAAATTTATGGAATCGTTTGGTTGATCATCTTTCATATTGGTCATGCTACTTTTGCTCGAGTGTGTGTGTGTGTTAACATCTATGTGTAATACAGGTCGTAAATAAGAGTGATCAAAAAAGCCTAGTGTCAGGCCTTGGTCATCAAAGCTTAATGAACCAAGAAAAAGCCATAACTGAGACTACGTGAGTCCATAAGAGTCTATGTTTGTGTGACTGAGATGTAAACTTGTAAGCATGTAAGTCAGGTTATGAAACCACCTGTCCAAACCTCTTAGTCTAAGGCCATTAAGGTTCAACTACCAAAGGAAAAGCATGATGACTAGGGTTGGCTAATCTGGTACGTCTGGTCTAGCATGTCGGATGAGTGTGAATGAAGTCAGAACCATCATTGAGCGGACTAGTTGAACACCTCTCTTCAACATATCATTCAAGCCTGAATAGTTCTTGTTCAACTTTCTACCAGCTTTCTTTACATTTTCCGTATTTCATAATCTATTAATTTTAATAAACTCTCTTAGCTTCCTTCTAACAACAGACGCATCATAATAATCAAACCTACTCGTTTTAGACCATTCTATCTCATGTCCAGTTTCTGGCATGTGTTCGGCCACTTCTGACCCTTCAGCCCAAATCACTTTGAAATCATTTTTGCGTTCTCTTAGTCCTTGTCGAATGGGTCTGTAATCTTACCAACATAAGACCTACCACACGAGCACATAATCTTGTAACAGCCGGATCTCGATAATGGGTCATATTTTTCTCTAAAAGATAGCATAATAGAATAAAAGGTCAGGGGTTCTCTAGACAATGTTTTTATCTCTCAATTCTTCACTAGTTCGCCTATATTTTTTGAAGGAATGCATGTTGGAAACATCAGGACATGAGATATCGTCTCCGCTTGTCTAGCTTTGACCGAATAGTCTCTGTCTTAATAAGTATTATTCATTAAAGAGTTATTATCATCAATTTGGCTCAACGGTTAATTAATTTTTAGAAATAAATCTTTCAGCCGCTTAAACTATTTAGTCAAATGATTGCTCTCCGCTAGTCTCATATTTCGTGAGTATTAACTCAATGACTTTAAAATTACAACCTTAGTTTTATGTCTATGACTGGAAAGAAAATAAAGAAGAGAGCCATCGTACGTTGGTTTCCTTTTCTCAATGATGACAACACTCTTTTATTTCCATTGTGGACCTAATACTCCTTTCATATTGATTAAGTGAAAGTAGGCAACAAAGCTTTCCTTACCATGAGGCCAGATGATAAAATAGTCATCCATGTATCTAACCAACATTGCTCAAGATTGTGTACTTCTGTCGTCAACCTTATGTTGGTGAGAGTAGTCGGCCTATGCAGCAAAGCATAAAAAATAACAAAAATGCTTGTAGAATGAGTTTGGTCCAATCGTCAGCAGTGGCGGAAAACGCAGGCCAGAGACTGGACATGAGATAGAATGTTCTCAAACGAATAGATTTTCTGATTATGCTGCGTTTGCCGTTAAAAGTAGAATAAAAGAGGCTAGTGTAATTGATATAACTGGAAATACATTTAATGTGAGGAAATTTGATAAAAAGTTGAGTAAAAACTATTTATGCTCGATTGATAGATTGAAGAAGAGAGAAGTTGTTGATCTGCCATCGAAAAGGCGACTAAACTTTTTCGCTAAATGATGATTTTACTTTCATTTACACTCGTCTAACATGTTAGATTAAGCTCAGCAACAAAACCAGACGTACCGGATTACGCAGCTTTAGTCATGCTTTTCCTTTGGCGGTCGAACCTTAATGAACCTAGACTGAGGGGTTGGGACATCTCGGTTTCACAACCAGAGATTCTTACAGACTTGTGCAGTCTAGCTCATGGCTTTTTCTTAAATCATTAAGCCATAGTGACCACTCTCTGATCATTCTGATTTAGGATCTTTATTGCATATAACCGTTATTAAGCATACACTCGAGCAAAGTTAGCATGACGAATATAAAAGAATTAGTCAAACCAGTCTATATCTATTTGTGCATTATTTGTACAAGAGTTAAAATAGACCCGGATAGTATTTTTAACCGAGTGTTGATGTGAGACTTCTACAAGAATGGCTTCAAACTCTGATGTTGTCCATCATGTGATGGACCGAAGCTCAGCCCATTTTCACCCGAAACCAGTCTCATGGACTGCGTCAACGGCTGCAGTACAGCGTTAATCAACCTACGAATCTCTGATTCATGAAGGTACCCCCAACAATGCTATTTTTAGAGATTTATCGAAACACTGTTACTCTTCGTACATACAATTGTAAAGCATTTCGTGACAAAATGTCATTCAGAATATTTATGCATAACATACATCCATTCACACTCTTAAACCGATTATCACTTATTACCTTTTTTGCTATACAATTTCATTAATCAAATTCAATAAATAGCTTGTTCTTCTTATTGACCAATCATTTTTTTTATTTATCCATAGGAAAACTTGGTGCTATCTGGTCAGCAATCCGCCAGGGCGGTTTTTGCATTAGTGCAGCCAGAATGCATCGTCTCTCAAAATTGGAAGCTGGTGACTTTCTCTCTGTATACAAAGGTGTTCTTAAGGAGTACCCTGAAGTACTACATGAGATGGCTTCTGGAAGATGCGTTGCTCTTGAGATCTCTATCACTAGTTCAACTCCAAACGGGGATAGGCTAACTATCGAGGAGGCAACATCAAATGTGCAACAGGCTTTTCGCGAATTTGTTGGTCCCATGGATCCGGTTGGTCATTTTAAGATGAATAATTTGATATATATCAGAACGAATATATAAATTAAGTAATATGTGGTAATATACTCATTCCTATGGTTTTCTTATTTCATGTAGATCAGTTCATTCATTTCATGTCAGACTACACCTAACAAGCAAAGAAAATTAAGTCTATTTATTTTCAAAAAATATACTGTATTGAAAATATGAAGATATGAAGACCAAGATATTGTGGCCTCTGGTATGGCCGCAGTCTCCTTTCGATTTTTCGCAGCCCGGTTTTGTTGTTAGGGCGACTTAGTAGAACGCACTTAGTCCGAAGTCGTCTGCCATAGTAGTTGTCATGATTGCCAGCATCAAACACTGGACTTGGTACATTCTCAAAACGTTTCGCCGGCATCTTAGTCGGCATCATCAGTGAGTTTTGCCATTCTCCGCACCAAGCTACGAACTCGTCAAAGAGACACATTAAGAAATTATACTAACTACTATGGCAGATGACTTCTAACAAGCAAACTCGTGGAAAACAAGAATAGAGCAAGACCAGCAAAAAGAAGACTCCTGGATTAA